CCTGGGGGGAGGAGTGCAGGATGGCAGCAGCAGCAGCCCTGGGCAGGAGCAGGGTCTGGGCAAGGTGCCCAGGGCTGGGTGGGGACACAGCTTTGGTCCTTCTGTAGCCTCACTGAAGCTCCTGTGCTTCACTTTCAGGACACCTCTGCATCTCGCCTGTGCCAACGGCCACGTGGATGTAGTTAGATTTCTAGTGAGACAGAACTGCCAGCTGAACCCCTATGACAATTGGAGGAGATCACCCCTGATGAAGGTACGTGGAATATGTCCTGCTCTTGGGGAGGTGCTCATTGCCTGTGCAGGAATGGCGGGATGTCTGGTAGGATTCTGTGCACAGGCTTGTGCAGAAACATGCCCATTGTAATCAGGGTGGAACAGCAAAGGTGAGCTCTTCTTTGCAGATGCTTTTCTTCCCCAGTGCTCAGAAACTGGGTGAGCTGGGGCAGTGCAAGGTCAGCTGTGGAAGAGTTTCCTTTGTGTGTGTGTTGTTCCCAGGCAGTGCAGAGCCAGCGGGAAGAGTGTGTGGCTGTTCTGCTGGAGCATGGGGCCAGCCCGAATCTGCAAGACACTGATGGCAACACCGCCCTTCACCTGGCTGTGCTGTCTAATGATATAAATATCGTGTTGCTGTTACTCGAGCATCATGCTGATATTGATGCAGAGAATAGGGTAAATGTTTATATTTGTTAAGGAACTTCTTTCTGAAAGTTGTATTAATATTTTTATTGAAGGTTGTTGTTTTTTTCTTTGATTTTTAACTTGATTTCTTTCTCTGTCCTTTCAGGAGGGTTGTACCCCACTGATGCTGGCTGTCTGGGAACATCACAAGGATGTAGCAGTGCTTCTTCTTCTAAAAGGAGCTGATGTGCATGCTCCAGATCTGTATAAAAGGTGAGAGGTTTATCAAAGTGGGTCCCCTTAGTACTCTTGAGGTTGGGCTGATGAGAGGCCTGGGGATGAGCTCTGAAAACGGGCAGGGAGACACACCCAGAAGAGCTATTTCCATGTGCCTTGGGAAGCAGCTCTGCCCTTGGCTGCTGTCAGATCTCATGGTACTTTCCACATTGAGGACTGCAAGGAGGCCCTGTCTGGCAGGAGCTCTGGCAGGAGCTCAGCAGCAAGGCCTTATTTATAAAACTGTCTCCTGCCCAGCAGCACAGGGTGTGCTTCACTGTTGAGTATGTGGAAGCTTTGAACATTGAATTGGTTTTGATTCCCTCTCGCGTTTTGTTGTTGCTTTTAATGGAAATTGCTTTTTCTTTTCTTCATTTTAAAGTAATGGGGGAAATAGTTTTTCTGAGAGTAAGCA